TTGATTATCTTTCTGAAGATCACCCAAGGCTTCCAAGTCCTTGTCCTCAAAAGCGGGACTCTTAGGAGGCACTTGATTTGGATTAGAGTAAGATTGAGTATTTGATGCTTGAGGATGAGAGTAAGATTGAGAATTTGATGCTTGAGGATGAGAATATTTGAAGTATGGCGAGTGTAACTAGAACAAGTCATGCACATTTCATTAGAATGATGGAAATAAGATTGAATTACTAGACCTTGATTCAAAAGGAATTTATCAAACTTTTGAGTAAGATTTTTGACCTCGCGGCAATTTCCATGGAAGAGTCTATTTGATTTAGAGCTTTCTTTCCTCCCACATTTGCTAGGCAACCCCCCCTAGAAGATGAAGATCTATGCATTGAGTTTTTACTCATTTTTTTTTTAAAAGATGCCAAATTTCATCCTCATTTCTTTCTATGTAGCTGCCTCCATATGAAACATCAACAATTCCCTTATTGGCATCGGATAAACTTGAAAAGAAACGTTGAACTAATTGCCACTTAGGAATGTTATGATGTGGAAACTTCCGTAGCAAGTCATTCAAATGTTCTCATACTTCATAAAGGGGTTTTTCTTCTTCTTGTGCAAACTCACGAATGGAATCGGTTCGACTCGCGTGGTAGTACTTCTTTAGGAACTCTTGTTGCAATTGTGCCCAAGAGGTGATTGCATTTGGCCCCAAGTTGTTAAACCAATATTTAGCTATATCCCGAAGAGTGAAAGGGAAAAACTTCATTTTAAAGACTTCTTCTGGCACATCCGTGATGTTCATGGTGGAACAAACTTCTAAAAACTCATCTAAATGTCTATAAGGCTCTTCATTGCTCAACCTATAGAAAATGAGGCACATGTTAATGGTGGAAGCCTTAATCTCATAATAGTGAGCACAGAAATTTGGTAATTGAATGCAAGTGGGTGCATTATATTGATTTAGAGTGTAACGATCCCTAAGGACCATTAGAGGATTGAGAGGATTAAGAGGAGGGTATGCTATTTGACCTTGATGAGGGTATGCCATTTGAATATATTGATGTTGTTGCTCACCAATTGGGGGCACAACATTTGGCCTTGGCATTCCTAGATTAGGTTGTTGCACAACAGGATTGATTAGTCGTGGCATTCCCAAGGGTGGATGCACACCTTGGGATTCCACATTATGAAGTTGTGAGTGGTACACACCTTGGTGATCCACATGACTAAGATCTTCAATTAGATCTTCAACTGGGTCTTCCATTAAAGGTGATGGAAGATCAAAAGTGGGAAGAATAGGATGACTATCCCTAATGCTACCTCTTAAACGCCGAAGGGAAACTTCGAGATTTTGATTTACATGAGCAAGAGGATGACTAAGTGATCTACGACCATGCATGCACTAGAATAAGTCAACACACCAACACTTCAATTTTTTAACCTCCACATACGATGTTCCCAAACTCCTCAAAAATATCAATGCACTAAAACAAATAAAAGCCTCCACACGGACCGATGCCTTCTTCAAGAAGGTATGCTTGGACTTAAAAATAAAACAATTCAATTTAAGCCACCACTTGGGCTGTCCAAAACATACAAGATAGTAAACAATTAAATTCAAGAATTCAAATAAAAACTTACAAATAGTCCTTAAGCAACTTCAATTTTTTATTTTTTTTTTATTGCTTCCAGGTCCAGCGTTTGCTCCACTTTGCTTCAAGTACCTAATTGACAAGTATCAAGTGAGAAAATAAAAATAAAATGACTTTAATGTAAACAATCAATAAAGAACTAATGTATAATTCAATTCTTTAAACCGTTAGATTCTCGGCAAATGCGCCAAAACTATGATGCGACCGAGCGTGTGCACAAATTAATGCATAACACTTTAGGTTTAGATATAATGTCAAGTGGGCATCATATTTTATAATTTATAAAACCACTAAACACTTATACTATAGAATATGAAGCGAGTAGGGATCGTCCCCAGAGATCTAAAAAAATGCTGATTTTTGGAATTGAATTCTACTTTATATGATTGTTAAAAAGAGGTTTGTTTTGTGATTAGAACTAATTTTAATCTAAATATTGCAATAAAATTAAAGCTTTAAATAATAGAGTTTAAGAGATTGGGAAAATGACTTAGAGTATAGGATTCACTACTAAGTACATTCCCTAACTCACTAACTTTCAACTAATTGAGGAAATAATAATGTGTAATCTAATTGTGGCTAATAATTGCAATGAAAAGTGTAAACCATCAATTTCAAGCATGAATCAACTACTTAATGACAATTAAACTAATTGTAGTGCAATTCACCAATTCAAAGTATGATTCATCAATTCAAGTTACAATTTTAATATACATCAATCAAGAGGGTAATGCAATTGTGACAAAAAGTATGGAATTCAAACACAAGTATGGATATTTACCTAATAATTAAATTGCAATTAAACTTAAATTAAACTAATTAAACATTAACTTAAAACTGATTAGACAATGAATTAACCTAAACATATAGTGCCATCCATCAAGTAGAAGTATTTTTCATCAAATTAAAACACAAATACAACTAATTATCACCATGCATAGCCATCACAAGATTCAATTCACAAAGAAATAAGGTTGATTATCAAGCGAACACACATAAGATAACATGATATTAACAATGATAATCAATTGGAAGAATTTATTCATAAACATTCAAGGCTATACACTAATTATACAAATTCATTCCCAAAAAGTGAAAGGGAGAGAGATTATGTTACATGCTTAGGGTTTATCCAACCCTAAGTTGAAGAATTAGTCACTCATAGTCGATGGATTTGATGACAGAACAATCTCCATCCTTTTCTTCATCATCTTTGCCCTTTTTTTTTTTTTTTTTTTTTTTTTCTTCTCTGTACTTTTTTTCTCAAAACCCTAGCTTTTTCTCCTTTTCGCGTTTTTTTTTAGAGAGAATGTGATATCGATTCTCGAAAAATTAAAAAAAAAAACTTAATAAAAATAATTAAAAACTAACTCTAAAATAAAGGTCTTGTTTTCCCTTTAATACAAAACCTATTAAAGTCCAAAGGTTATAAAAATAAGCCCAAAAGACAAAATCCCGTAACCATCAAAACATGTCAAACCCGTAACTTAAATTGTTGCCAGCAACATGGCGTCCGGACGCAGTGTATTGAAGACTCGCGTCCGGACGCAATGCACTCTTTGCTGCATTTTTCTGCTTCCTTTTGAATTTTGCCCTAATGCTCTAGCTTGACTCCAAAACGCCATAATGAACCGTTCTTAGCTCATTTTATCTTTATTGCCCTGAAATACACATAAACATAAATTAAGACTAAAACATGAAAGTAAGATAGTTGCAATGACTGAAATACCCTAACTTAGGTGCTGAAATGTGCAACATTTAAGCATTTATCACCATAGCCACTGCCTTCCACCACTGCCACCGCATTTCACCACCACTACCACCTTTCACCACCGTCACCGCCACCGCCGCCGCCACCGTCACCGCCTTCAGTCGCCACTTTCTGCTAATGCCACCACTGCCATCGACTTACACCTCCACCGCCCACCACCTTCCATCACCACCACTGCTACCGCCTTCCACCACCACCACTACCTTCCACCACCTTCCACCATCACCGCCGCTATCGGCTTCCACCACCTTCCACCACTACCCCTTTCCACCACCACCACCACCGCCACCTCCTTTCACCACCGCCACACACTTCTAACACTATCGCCTTCCACCACCACCGCCTTCCTCCACTGCCACCTCCTTCCACCACCACCACCACCACCACCACCACCACCACCACCGCTACCTCCACTACCTTCCACCACCACCACAGTCACCTTCTTTGGTTTCCACCATCGCCACCTACACCACTATCTCCTTCCACTACCACCATTACACTATTGCCACCGCCTTCCACGAACACCACTGCCGCTTTTCACCATTGCCACCACCTCCGTTTTCCACCGTTGCCACCATTGCCGCCTTCCAACACCAACACCTACACCACTACTATTTTCCATCTCCACCACCATCGTCACCACCATCCACCGCCACCACTGCCACTGCCACTGCCACCATTTATTTTAAAAAAATTATTAGAGAATGTCATTTTGTTAATTTAATTTATTTGTTACTAAGAGAGATATTTTAGATAATTCAATTTGAAATTTATTCTATTCTAAATTTTAAATTAGTCCAACCAAACACAAGAATGGTTATTATCATTTTATTCTAATACATTTCATATTTACAAATAAAAAATAGAATGAAAATGACCACTCCATTCAATTCACATCCTTATTCCATTTTTACTTGCATTCCATTCTATTCCATTCATACACACCAAACACAGCATTAGAGTGTTGGACATTGAAATTAAAAAAGAGCAATGGATTATTATAAGTGAATGTGAACAAATATTGAGATGGATGTTGAGGCAGAATTATAATATGGCAAGTCAGAATGTAGAACTTAACGTGTTACTTCTACAATTAAATTTGGTGACTGTAGGCGCATGTGGTGGTGTGGACAAATTGGACAGAGATGGATTCTGCCGGCATTGAAACCCTAGTACAAAATAGAAAAAGGGAAATCTCATAAGAGACTCGCAGATGCACCAGTTAAAAAACAAATTATTATTATTTTTCCCTTTAAAAACGTATGATTAAATTTAATGAAATAATAAGAAATAATTTTAAAATTTAGATGCAACAAGTGAAATGAGTTATGATAGATAAATAAATACGAACAAATAATTAGTAAAAGAGAGTTTAGGAAGTTGATCCGTTCTTATGAAAATAATTGCAAGGATGATGGTAGAAAAGCATGATGTGTGAATTCGATTACGGGATGTCTGAGAGTTTTCTTTATTATAAACGATGTCGCAGCAGTGCCCGAATCTCTCAATAGGGAAGGCGGAAGCAGGAAATTTTGCGATTTAGGGATATATATTTTATACACAATATATATATATATATATATATATATATATATATATATAGGGCGTTTTTATCCACTTCTTGTTGTTGGTCTGCTTGCTCGGCCACTCTTTCTCTGAACAATCATAAACTTGAACAAATTGATGGCGTCTTCTCTATCTACCTATTATCATCACCTCCCTACTGCTACCATTAGTACTCATCGGTCTTCAAAGAGTAAGAATGGGGGCAATCTCTCTTCTCAATTGTTATTCAAAAACTTCAACTTGTCTTCCAAATCCAACATCTCTCACCAATTCCTTCACTCTAAGCAATCCCAACTGCTACTCGCTTCAAATTCAAGGCAGTCTCTCACTGTCAGATCAATGGCGCCCCCTAAGCCTGGTGGAAAATCCAAGAAAGGTATCCCATTTCCCTTTAATTTCTTGATTTATTTATTTATTTATTTTTTTCGTAGCCCTACTTATTATATTCTACCTGTATGTATAGGAGTATCTAGTATTTTTGTACATACATCAATTCTTATATATATATATATTGTTGCTTGCAGTGACTGGATTGATTAAGCTGGCTCTGGAGGCAGGGAAGGCCACACCTGCACCGCCTGTTGGGCCAGCCCTTGGTTCAAAGGGTGTCAATATCATGGCATTCTGTAAGGACTACAATGCCAGGACCGCCGACAAAGCCGGTTATGTCATTCCTGTTGAAATCACCGTCTATGATGTCAGTTCTTTCTCTCTCTCTCTCTCGTAATGTTATACTCTAGTGGGAGTGGAATATACTATGCTACTACTATTTCTTATTTGGATTTCTTTCAGCATTCTCATTTGTATCCCACCATTTCTTCTTGCGGTTTCATACTAGCATCAATCCAAAATCACTCACTACATACTCGTATTTGTTTCACTAGATTTGTTGCTTTTTACCTTTATGGATGCCATTTAAACCTTCCCTTAATTCATACATTTACTGTATGATATATAATATATTCTTTGTTTGCAGGATAGAAGCTTCACTTTTATCTTGAAGACTCCACCTGCTTCAGTCCTGCTCCTGAAGGCTGCAGGTCTGTCTCTCTCTTATTGCTGCTTTTATAGTTCCCTCTCTCACTTTATTATTTTATTTACTTTATTTAGTTAAGCTACTTGCATTTTCAAGCCTTTTGTTCTTCCATGGTTTGTATGGTGTGTGTTTGAGTTGCTTTAACAATGCCTGGACTTTATGTGCGTTGTTTCTTGATCTATGATAACCCTTTGCTGTTTGATTGTTTAAAAAATTTACAAAATCAAGGTTGTCAATTAAAAGGTTAACATTTAGGTCCAGGCAAGTCTAGTTGTATCCACAACATTGTATTTGTATTTCATGAATTTGAAAAATGAAATACAAAATTTAAGCAGAAGCAACAGAGGAATCTAAGAAGGTTACATTGGAGATATTGTAGATAGTGAACATCATGGAGATATTATAGATAGTGAACATCTATAACTCTCCAACGTGATTGGCATAATAAATGACCATAAAAAAACAATAACAATAATCTTGATTAGTTTTATTAAAACAAATTAAGGTGCTAATTGAGACTGACATAAGAAATTATGACAATAACCTTCATGTCCTAAATTTATGGTTAAGAGCTCCTTGTGCGGTTACTGGATAACGTTTTGTTTTTTGTCTAGCCATAGATATGTGAGTTAAATTTGTGCTTCGAGGCATCTCCAATGAGCCTTGCCTTGGAACACACCTCAAATATTCATTGAAGGCGTTGAGAATCACAATTCTTGGCAACATACTTCGTAGCTATTTTCACTATTCTGACCACTTTGTCTATGAGGCTTCAGAACTTCAGAGCAACTTCTTATGCCAAGTGGAAGGGTGTTAGGCAACTTGATTGAAATGGATGTGCTGTTCCCCTTTAGGGGACGGAGGTTGCGTATTACAAAGTTTTGGTTGTTTAAGCAAGCTTTTATGGGGGATGGTTTTAGATATTTGCAAAGGACAGTGGTTCCATGTGAACAAGATGGTAAAAAGATGGTAAAAACGATGTATTAGGAAGCTCGGAGAGATTGTTGAAGACTAGAAGTTGGGTTGCTGTGTAAAAGCATCAGGAAGAATATGGAGGAATACTTTGAGCATGTTAGATTCATTGTGGGGGATGGTTATAGGGTGGTGAACTACTGACATGAAGCCTGGTGCGAAAAGCTTGCTTCATAAGAGATATGTCCAATGAGGAAGATTACTACAAAAAAAGGAGGCTTTCATTGCATGTAGTGTTAATATCTCAAAGAGTAGAACTGTATGGGACATCCAGTTGATGAGAATGGTGCAACGTGTCTCTTTTTTTTTTTTTTTTTTTTTTTTTTTCCTTGACTTATTTTATGGTGCTTTGGTCATTAATGGCAAGAAGGATGCTTTAAGATGGAAGGACTGAGGATTTTCCGGTAAAGATGAGTTCTTTGGTGTATCATTTGTAAGAAAATGGAGGAAACAGTTAACCTTCTGTTACTACACTGTTTGGTTGTTTGCAGATTACTACAAAAAAAGCTTGCTTCATAAGAGATATGTCCAAATCTGGGGAAGATTACTACAAAAAAGGAGGCTTTCATTGCATTTAGTGTTAATATCTCAAAGAGTGGAACTGTATGGGACATCCAATTGATGAGACTGGTGCAATGTCTTCTTCTTTTTTTTTTTTTTTCCTTGACTTATTTTATGGTGCTTTGGTCATTAATGGCAGAAAGGATGCTTTAAGGTGGAAGGACTTAGGATTTTCCGGTAAAGATGAGTTCTTTCTATTAGTTGTTCAGTGGCAAGAGTTTTGTTGGGAAAGATGGTGCCAAATTGGTGTATCATTTGTAAGAACACGGAGGAAACAGTTAACCTTCTGTTACTACACTGTTTGGTTGTTTGCAGATTGTGATATATTCTTTTTTTGTATGCTTGGAACATGGTAAATTATGATGAGGTCAGTGCTAAAGGTATTTAAGTTGTTACATGGGCTAGAATTAGTAGGAATGCGAGGCCAGTGTTGGACAGCTGTGCTGTTTGCATTTCGGTGGTGTGTCTAGGGTAGTAAAATAGGCTCACTTCTGAAGGAGGACTGGACGAGAGCTTCTGGGTTATAAGCTGAAGCATGCAATGCTCAGTTCTCTATTTGTGTGGCTTTGAAGAAGGGGATACTTTTAATTCCTCTTTGAACTTTATAGGTTCCATGTGTCCTACACAGAGAATTTGGGTTGGATGAGGTCTCTTTGATATACTTTGGAATTGGGATCTACCTGGATTGCCCTCCTATGGCACCCTTTAGAACAAAAGAAACCTTCTTTTTGTCTTTGACCCAGCATAACACAAGAACAATGGCCTCATGATCTTGACCTTGTGATAGGTCATCGATTTTTTTTTTTTAAGAAAATAATCAGATTTATTTAATATTTCCTGAGAAAAATACAACCTTTAGTTTCTATTCAAAAGCCCCTTCACCTCTTCTTGAATGCAGTAAGGCTGAAACACTAAATGACAACCAAATTACGATATTCGGGGGGAAAAAAAACAGAGCTATGGAATTGGTCTCTATACACAATCATTACTTTACAACACTGGAAAGCCATCTTTTGTATAACTCTTTCACCACTTTTTGCAGCTTCCAAGGAATATACTCAGCTTTATATACCAAGCACTTTGGTGTCATAGAATCAGTCGCTTTAATGATTTTATCCATTTCCCTTCCAGCAGCCAGGTTTAAACCAATAGGAATGCATAATGATTAAATCAGGTTAATCAGCTGTAGCAAAGCTGAATATGATCTGTTATTTTTTCTCATAACTCCACTTGAACCTCCCTTGTTTTCATTTACAGCACCATCATTAAGGAGTATTAGAATGTTTATTTGGGTCATTATGTAATTACCCATAGTAGTTAGGATTATTTTGTAATTAAGCAATATTGTGTAATTAGGGTATAACCCTTTGTCCTTTATATAAGCCTTATTTGGGCTGAGGAGAAGATACAAGATATACACAGATTTCTCTCTCTCTCTCTCTCTCTCTCTCATGAATCTAAACATGGTATCAGAGCAATATGGATTCATGGGTGTGGGAAACGACAATTGCGTTGCCCTTGTATGAGATTGGAATCGCGATCGGAATCGCGAGTGTTTTGTTGGTGTCTTTGCTGGAACTTCTTGTCGCCGGTAGATTGAGAACACATTCGTCGTCGTCATCGTCGTCAGATCTGAAGCTTCCTTTGTCGCCGTCAGATCTGAAGCCCCTTTGGTCGGTCGTGTTGTTGCCGCTTTGGTCGTCAGCAAGCTCGCCGACATCTACCGTCGTTAGTTGCAGAGGTGAGGCTTCATCGATTCGTCTTTTCTCTTGGTTGGAAGTTGCAGAGGTTTTGATTCGGTGTGGTGTCGCTGATTATTGCCGTCGCCACTGCGTGCTTGCCGGAGTTTGTCGGTGGTGTTGTGAAGAAGAACAGCCGTGTTTGGTTATGCGGTTATGCTATTCCAAACCTGGTGTACTAAAACCGAGATAGCAGAGACCTGGCTTTGATCCAGCCCCGGTTGCCAAAATCTGACCCGGTTGTCCAGATCCGACCCAGTTGCCGATTCTGCAATATTTTTTTTCCCAGGTTCGTTTTTTTTTTTAAACCTTCTCCATGGCTTCCAGTTCAGACCTGTTATCTTCTACCTCCTTCAATCCTCCCATGACTTCAATCAAGCTTAATGGCAAAAATTACATTTTATAGCCAGGTCAGTAGCCATTTTCTTGAAAACCAAAGGCTTTGGCACTCGTTTGGTTAAGGATAAACCCAAAAACAGTGGTGCTGATTTCAGTTCATGGGAACAAAGGGATGCTCAGATCATCTCCTTAATGTTGAATTATATTGAACCTCATATTGGCTCCAACTTGTTATATCTGGACATTGCCAAGGAGATATGGACCCGACTCCAACAGTTATACTCCGGTACTAGTAATATAACCAGAATTTATGAGGTGTGTAGACAATTTTTGATCTCCAACAAGGGACTCAAAAGTTTAGAAGAATACCTCTCACGGGCAATGGGACTTTGTGAAGAAATAAACTTGTATCAGCCCCTCACCTCTGATGTGAAAAGCATGCAACAGCAACGTGAGGATTTTAATGTTGTTCGGGTTCTCACAGGCTTGTCACAAGAGTATGAACCTGTTCGTGCACAGATTTTGGGTAGCCTTGCACTTCCCTCTCTACTTGATATGTTATCTAGACTTCAGTGTGCCACTTTATCTAGTGGTGCTTCAGGGGGTGCATCAAGTGCTGTCACTGCTCCTCCTAGCAGTGACCGCTCTGCCTTAGTTGTGAACCAGGGTGGCTTTCAGTCTTCTCGTGGCGGTGGTGGTCGTTTTACTTGTGGTTGTGGTTGTGGCCGTGGCCGTGGTCGAGGTAAAGGCAGAGACTTAAAACTTTGCACTCACTGCGGTCTTACCAATCACACTGTCAGTTACTGTTGGGATCTTCATGGGAAACTGCCACCTTCTTTCTATGCACATCAAGCGACTTCTAATGATGGGGATTCTTCTCTCTTTGCCACACCTACTGCTCCACATGTGGCTATTGAGACTGCTATGGTCACGATTCCCCGCGATGAGTATGCTCAGTTTCTGTCTCAACAACGGCCTTCCACCTCATCTTCCATGGGGTCCTTGGCCCAATCAGGTAGTGTCCCTGCATGTCTTTTGTCCTCTAGTCAGAGTCCCTGGATTCTTGACTTTGGCGCATCCGATCACATGACTGGTAGTTCTCATTTCTTATCTGATTTTCAGTCTGTTCCTTCCTCTCAAAGAGTTACTCTTGCTAATGGATCATCAATTAAAGTTTTGGGTTTGGGAACCTCGTCTATTTCTCTTTCCTCTGTGTTATATGTTCCTCAATTCCCTTTTAATTTGTTGTCCATTAGTAAAATTACTAAATCTCTTAACTGTTCCGTTACATTTTATCCCACATGTTGTCTTTTTCAGGATCTCAAGACAAAGAAGGGGATTGGTACGGGACATGAAGTAGGTGGCTTGTATTACTTCAATCTTGCACCATCTC